TTCTCTGACAGTGGTTACAGCAACATTTTTCTAGATATGTCTCTTGAGGCAAGAAAAACAAAAGCAGAAATAAAACTACTGGGACTACATCAAAATAAGAAGCTTCTGGAGTGCCTGGGTGGCTCAACTGCTTGAGCGTCTGACTTTGGCTCAGGTAATGATCTCATGGTTTGTGAGTTGGAACCCCATGTTGGACTCTGCACTGACACAGAGTCTGCTTGGGATTCTTGCTCTCTCCTCTCTCTCTCTGCTTCTCCACCACTCACACTTTCTCTCTTTCTCAGAACACATAATCTTTAAAAAAGAAAAATAAGAAGCTTCTGCACAGCAAAGCAACTAACAGAACTTAAAGACAACCTACTGAGTGAGAGAAGGTACTTACAAATGACCTATCCAATAAAGGGTTAGGGTGTCCAAAACATATAAAGAACTTATATAAGTCAACACCAAAAACACATATAATCCAATTAAAAATGGACACAGAAGACATGAACAGACATTTCTCCAAAGAAGACATACAGATGGCCAACAGACACATGAAAAGATGCTTAGCATCACTGATCATCAGGGAAATGCAAATCAAAACCACAAGGAGATATCACCTCACACTTGTCAGAATGGCTAAAATAAACAAGAAGCAAGTGTTGGCAAAGATGTGGAGAAAAAGGAACCCTCATGCACTGTTGGTGGGAATGCAAACTTCTGCAAAAACTGTGGAAGACAGTGTGTGTTTCCTCAAATAATGAAAACTAGAATTACCATATGATACTGGGTATTTACCTGAAGAACAAAAAAGCACTAATTTCAAAAGGTATATGTGCCCCTTTGTTTACAGCAGCAATGTTTATAGTAGGCAAATTATAGAAGCAACCTAAGTGTCCATCCACAGATGAATGGATAAAGAAATGGTGTGTGTGTGTGTATAAACATACACATACACACATACAAGAAATGGTGTACACACACACACACACACACACACACACACACACACACACTGGAATGTTGCTCAGCCATAAAAAAGAATGAAATCTTATCATTTGCAACAACATGGATAGAGCTAGAGAGCATAATGCTAAGTGAAATAAGTCAGAGAAAGACAAATGCCATATGATTTCACTCATATGTGGAATTTAAGAACCAAAACAAACCAATAAAGAAAAGAGACAAACAAAAAAGACTCTCAACTATAGAGAACAAACTAGTGGTTACTAGCTGGGAGGTTAGTGGGGAGGATAGGTGAAACAAGTAAAGAGGATTAAGGAGTACACTTAATCATGATGAATGCTGAGTAATGTATAGAGTTATTGAATCACTACATTATACATCTGGAACTAATAGAGCGCTGTTAATTATACTGGAATTAAAAAAAATTTTAATTTTTTCCAAAAATTATAGTGCAACAGCAGGACAGTACACATGAGTATGGCTGCTTTCTAATAAAACCTCTTTACAGTCACTGAAATTTTAATTTCTATAAATTTCATGTTACAAAATACAAAATTTTTTCATCCATTTTAAAATGTAAAAATCATCCTTAGCATCCAAGCTATATAAAAAAAAAAGCAATAGGCCAATTTGATCTGTGGACCACAGTTTGCCAATATTGACCTAGAATTTTAGTACTTGCTTCTTTTTTAAAAAATGATTTTTAGAAACTCGACATCTAAAATTTTTAATTATATATTTTTCTCTTTTTTTGTTCATCATGTTCTTAAACCCTGCTTCTTCTTTTTGAGATCATTTTTCTTCTAATTGAAGTATATCCTTTAATCTTCTTTTATTCAGACTGATAGCTAACATTTACAGATGCTTATTTATATGTGAAGCACTGGTCTAATAAGTACCTTACATAAATGAATTTGCTTCATCTATACAATATCCTATGGCATAGATCCTAGGAAATGTCCTATCCCATGAAAAGTCTTTATTTCACCTTCACTCCTGAATAATAGCTTGGCTGGTGAAAGAATTCTAGATTTGCAATTCTTTTCCCACAGCACTTTAAAAATAATACTATAAAATGTCAATCTGGTGTTTGTCCCTTTGTAGGTAATCTGACTTTTCTCTCCAATAGCTTTTTCAATGTCTTCTTTTTCCTTGATTTATAAGTATGAATTTTTAAAATTTTATAGGTATGAATTTTTAAAAATTTTTCTGCCAACACTTAGCAGGGATAAAAAAAAAATTTATCCCTCAATAAAATTTTTCAACCGGTGGGCTTACATCTTTCTTCAAGTCTGGGAAATTCTCAGCCATTATCTTTTCTTGCATTGCTTCTCTACCACTCTCTCTCCTTTCAATTTCTGGATCTTATAATCTAATCCCCCAAGGCTCTTACTTTTTTTCTTTTTAAAATCTTATTGTACTTTTGCATGTTGCATTCTGGAATACTTGTTCATTTAATCATTCATTTCACTAATTTGTTCTTCAGCTCTGCCTAGTTTACTACTGAGTTCATTTTATTTCAAACTTCATAGTTTTCCTTTCCAGTGATTCCAACTGATTCTTTTTTCATAGCTCACACTTTTGTTTTCATGTTCCTCCCCCTGTTTATCTCTTTGAGGATATAAAAAGTACTTCCTAAGTCCTTTTCAGATTGTTCCATTTGCTCTGTTTGCTCAAGAAATCATTCTTTCTGGTTTTTTCTTTTTTTGATCACTACTGGCATCTGTGTTCTTTAGATGCTTTGTGATTCCTGGGTTGAGATCATCTGTAGATTTCTCTCATGAGTACCCTGGGCAGTAGCACTCTTTGACCTGGACGGAGAGAGAGCTCCCCAGCCTCATTCTTCAGAGCCCTACCCAGCATCATAGTTCAACAGACTATGCCCACCTGGAGCTACTCTACTCTTAGAGACCCTGGAATTCCTTAAACAAATGGCCCAAGCCTGCTTCCAAAATCTACATGGACCTCTTCCCAGGATTCAGACTCCTGAGGGCAGACTATATGCTGTTGTTTGTTCACCCTTAAGCCCAAGGGGTGGCCAAGTGGCAGGGATGTGTACACTGAGATTGGAAAAACCAGGTAAGGTGATCACATGCACACATGACAGGCCCCTCGTGAGAAAAAGGCAAGCCACAGGCAGCCTCTCCCCTTGCTGCCACCTTCCACCAAAGAATCCCAAGGAATCTAAGAATTTTAAACTTGTCCTTTCAACTTATTATAAAGATATATTTGTAAAAAATACAGAACATATTTTACTTAACAAATATTAACTTGATTTATAATTTTTAAACATCTATACATATAGTATGTAGGCCTCCATTTAAACTCCTACTCAGGGCCTCACAAATGAGGGGGCAGGCCAGACTCATAGTGGTTTTTATTGACACTTCAACCTCTGAGTTGGAAGGCACTGGGCTTCAGTACCACCTGCGGACAAAAGAAAAGTCTTGCCTCCTCTAGTCCGGGCAGGTAACTTGGATCTAGCTCCCCACCATTCCCAATCCCTGCTCACCATCATAGATTCCCAGCTATTTCTTTCTTTTAGGAAGTAATCTCCACTTCTGATGTATGGAAATTTTTTACCTTTTTTAAAAAAAGTGTGGTTATGTGCTTATTAGTGTGTGTGTATTTTAGGTACTCAGAGCAGAAGGGAAAGGTTTCAGCATATTTTTAATCTGCCATCTACGCCTGAAAGTAGAGCCCCTGCTATAAAGTATGGAAGTCAAGAATGCTTCATCTGATATCATAAGGTGAGCCAAGAAACAAGAATCAAAACTAGAGCTCAGATATGGAAGTCTTCATTGCCTATGACACAGACTTGATCACAGCAAACCATCACAGCTGGGAAACAAAAGTAATCTCATTTTAATAAAAATCTTAATAGTGTACCAACTATCTCCACAACCTGGGAGGAGGTGGCCTCTCTGGTCCTCAGTTTCCCAGCTACAATCAAGTGAGTTCAATAAGCTAATGTCTAGTCATTTAAAAAAGCCCCTTTTCTTATTAATTTTTCTAATTTCACATAATACAGGCCTAGGTCAGATTTTAATACCATCAAAGAGTGACTTTCTGAGCCTGAACTATATTAGCATTTCAGAGATAATATCAAAAGAAATCATCGAGCTGCTTGGGTGGCTCAGTCAGTTAGGCGTCCAACTTCAGCTCAGTCATGACCTCACAGTTTCTAAGTTCAAGCCCCACATCGGGCTCTATGTGACAGCTCAGAGCCTGGAACCTGCTTCAGATTCTGTGTCTCCCTCTCTCTCTGCCCCTCCCCTGCTCTCTCTCTCTCTCCCTCTCAAAAATAAATAATAGGGGCGCCTGGGTGGCGCAGTCGGTTAAGCGTCCGACTTCAGCCGGGTCACGATCTCGCGGTCCGTGAGTTCGAGCCCCGCGTCAGGCTCTGGGCTGATGGCTCAGAGCCTGGAGCCTGTTTCCGATTCTGTGTCTCCCTCTCTCTCTGCCCCTCCCCTGTTCATGCTCTGTCTCTCTCTGTCCCAAAAATAAATAAACGTTGAAAAAATAAATAAATAAATAAATAATAAACATTTTTTTAAAAAAATTAAAAAAAAGAAATCATCCAAACTATCCAATAGGGTATGTAAGAGAGCTTTGGTAAATTGAAAGATATTTTGTCAAAGTAAGATAATATTGTTACATATGGTGGAATATACATTCAGTATTATACACTCAAAAACGGTTTATGTGTAAAGGAGTAAGGACTGCTCAATGAAAAGGAACTGATTCACTAGGAAAAACTGAGAACAGGGAGGTGAGTAGTCGGCAAAGCAACCACAAAATTAAGCCAAAATAAAACTTCAGTCTTCAGGGATAAAGTATAAGCCTCCTTGCAATGAAAAGGGCATACCTCTCTTTGAACAAAAGTATCAGAAAAAGTATGAGTCTATGAAGTAGCTCTGTTGAGCAAGACATTTTAAATAGCAACACTTTATACCATAGTTGCTTCTAAGTACATCATTTCCAGCAACTCAATAGCATGCATGGTTATCAAGACAGGCATCTACAAATATCCAAGACAATTACCAACTCACCCCAAGTAAGAGTAGCCAGGGTCAAGAGCTCAGGGATTGACTCCTGACATACTACATATTCTGGAGAATATGGATCTGTTTGAACTTCAGCATCCCGATAATCAGTCTGAGTGCCCACAGTACACTTTGAAGGGATAGATGGGTACTTAGCAGAAGTAGTAGGAAAAGTATATGGCTCTGTCCTAAAAGGGAAAATTATTTTAAAAATTAAAACCTGATCCAATCAGTTACAATACTACATAGTCAAGCAGAAATGAATCCTTAGCTTCACTAAGCCTATGCCCCCTTTAAACATGCACAAATTCATGCACCCAGTGTAACCAGGACTGTGGCCAATTATCTTGAGTGAACTGCCTTGCTATTCTCACCTCTGCCAAGAAACTGAAGGGATATAAATGACCAGGTCTATTCATAAAAGTGCCTGTTCATCTGTATATCATTGGGCAGGGTTGAACACAGAGTTATAAAAGGTGGATCCTAGCTTGTCATACAGTTACTTCTGAACATGTTTAGAATTGCTACTTCCTAGTTTCTTTCCGCTCTGCTTGTAGTTACACATCCAATTTTAGCTGTTTCCCTCTAGAAATACAGGAACAGAGAAAAAAGAAGAGATCCTTTCTGAATTTTTAAAAGATAAGGCTCTTTCTAGATGGACAATTCAATAATTAATGCTGGGATCTCTTGGTTAATTATGGAATAGTTATCTCATGCCTTAGACAAAAATTAATTCCAGATATTTTAAAGCATTTAATGTAAAAACGAGACTATAAAAGTAATAGGAAACATGAGTAAATACACCATCTTTGAGTGAAAGTGTTTCTCAGCATGGCTCAAAAGCCAGAGACTATAAAAGGAAATGATCAATAGAATTAAGGTTAAGTTGAAACTTCTACACCTCAAAATGTCATAAACAAATTTAAAATATGAATGGCACACTTAGGAATACGTTTTACAACATATATGATAAAAGTTAAATAGCCTTTCTACACAAAAAGTCCTTATAAATCAATGACAGTCAAATACCAAAAGAAAAAATGGGTAAAGAACAATTCACAAAACAAAAAGTAAAACTTCTAACACATGAAAAATTAATGAACATAACTAGTAATCAAAGAAAAATAAAGTAAAACAGCAAGATGATATTTTATTACATCACATAAGCAAAGACTGAGAAGACTGAAAATACCTAGCATTGACAAAGTTGTGAAGAAACAGGCATTCTCATAAACTGTTGACTGAAATACAAATAGACACAACCTAACTAGAAGGTAACTTATCGATCTAACCTTTATCTGACAGGTTATCTTATCCAACCTTTAAAAATACCCTTTTGGGGCATGTGGGTGGCTCAGTCAGTTAAGCATCTGACTCAGTTTTGGTTCAGGTTGTGATTTTGTGCTTCAGGAGTTTGAGCCCCACATGAGCTCAAGCTTGGGATTCTCTCTCTCCGTCTCTCTCTGCCCCTCACCAGCTTGTACTCTCCCTCTCTCTCTCAAAATAAATAAACTTAAAAAGAAAAAAAAAAACCCTTTGTCCCAGCAACTGCACTCCTAGGAATTTATTCTAGAAAATAACTGGACAAGTGTACAGAGATAAATGCAAATATGTTCATAAAGTCTCACGTGTAAGAGTAAAAAATTACAAACTCTTTTTTTAATAGCCAATTAAAAAATGGTTACAACTGAGGTTATTAGGCATCAACCTTGGATCCATTATTTTCATCTTATTTTTTTATTCTGGCTTTTTAATTTATTTTTTGGTTTAGTTATTTATTTTGAGAGACAGAGAGTGAGCACATGAGCAAGCAGAGGAGGGGCAGAGAGAGAGAATCCCAAGCAGGCTCTGTGGTGTCAGCATGGAGCCTGATGCAGGGCTCAGTCTCAGGAACCATGAGATCATGACCTGATCTGGCTCTTTTTAAGTACAGAAAAAAATTTTTAGTTGATTCATTTAAACATATGCCTACTCTTATACATAATTTTTGTAACAAAACATATGATAGCACATATGCTTTAATATTTTAGTGCAGTGCTTTTTTCCTTTACTTTTGGGTTAGCTTCCCTCAATATCTTTTCCTCCCTAGCACCCACAGCACTACCCTCTCTGTATATCCTAGATCTAGAATATATTCTTGAATTATCCTTGAATCTTGCTGTATTTTTACCCACTCTTATTCTTCTACACTCACACAAATACACACATGTAGAGTGTTATTTTATTGTTTTGCTAACATGGAATCTTATTATGAATACCTTTTTGCATGTTGCCTTTTTTTTTTTTTAATTTTTTTTTTCAACGTTTTTATTTATTTGTGGGACAGAGAGAAACAGAGCATGAACGGGGGAGGGGCAGAGAGAGAGGGAGACACAGAATCGGAAACAGGCTCCAGGCTCCGAGCCATCAGCCCAGAGCCCGATGCGGGGCTCGAACTCACGGACCGCGAGATCGTGACCTGGCTGAAGTCAGACGCCCAACCGACTGCGCCACCCAGGCGCCCCTGCATGTTGCTTTTTTAACTAAACCATACTTCATGGAAATCTTTCTAATCTATTCATGTGGGTCTTTTTCAAGAAAAATCAAACTTAAATGATCACCATGAATAGAAAAACTACTTCAAAAAATATGGCATGCTTATAATGAAATTTATGCAGCTATTAAAAGTAACAATGAAATCTGTATTTATGAACATACAAAAATGTCCATGATTCAATGTAAAATAGAAAAAAAGGACACTATGAAGCAATATGTACAACAGGACTACATTATTTTTATTTAAAACCTGTGTTTTGTGCATAGAAAATGCCTAGATGGATATACAATAAAGTAACAATTATTTCTGGATAGTAGGATTACAGATTTTTTTCATATTTATAGTTTTCTAAATTCTCTTTTTTTTTTTAACCTGGACATGTATTACTATTAAAATGAGCAAAAAAACAACATAGCTATTTCCATTTAAAAGAATATGTTTTCTAGTTGGTAAAAGTATTAGTTAAATTACATAAACAAAAAACTATAACAGCAAAAAACAGGAATTTCCATTTTTAAAAACAGTCAAAGGTAATGAGAGGTGTTTATATATAAGCAAAACATATACAGCTTAGCTCTTAAAAAAATGCATTTCAAATGAGCTAGAAAGAAGTACCTATTTGGAGGTTCAACCTGTAATGAAATAGTACTTTTTTTTTAAATAGTACTTTAATTTGTTATTAATGCTGAATTCTAATGGTATGGAAATAATTTTTTAGCAGCTGCTATGAATTTCTAAAATATGTAGATAATTTAAGTGTTTATAATTTCTTAGTTTTCAGCAGAAATTATTCTACTATAAAAATTCTTGTTGAGGAAATAACTTCAGGTTTATATCATCCCAGATCTTATGCATATTTTTATATAATACCATTAGTTTGAATCAAAAGAATAAATTGTTTTCTGAATTAAAAATTACATATTTGAGCCATCTGATCAAGTATGCTAGGATAAGACCTAATGAGGGACACCTGGGTGGCTCAGTCAGTTAAGCATCCAACTCCTGATCTTGGCTGAGGTCATGATCTCAGGGTTTGTGAGAGCACAGAGCCAGTTTGGGGTTCTCTCTCTCCCTCTCTCTGCCCCTCCCCCACTAGCACGCACGCGCTCTCTCTCTCTCTCTCTCTCTCTCTCTCTCAAAATAAATAAATACACAACAACAACAACAAATAAAATTCATGAATCCTTCCGACTAAGCTTTATGGTGACTTAAGACCCTTGTAGGTGGGTCAAAGGAGAGGATGCAAAGGGGGAATGCTACTTTGACAGAAGTCCTATAATAACTTAATACAGTTTCTTTCCTAACTACCACATAGACACCAGGAGCACGGACTATCTGCCATACCTGTAGTCTTCTAGATTTTCCCTTCCAGCCCAATGAAACTAAACACAATGAGGGGTTTCACAAAGTAGCAAATCCTGTTCTGTAATTCTGTAAACTCCAATGAATGTTTGTATTTTTTTAGACTTAATTTTTTCAGGGGCACCTGGATGGTTCAGTTAGTTGCGGCTCTGACTCTTGATTTCAGCTCAGATCATGATCCCAGGGTCATGGGATTGAGCCCCATGGCAGGCTCTGCGCTGAGCACGGAGTCTGCTTGAGATTCTCTCTTTCTCCTTCTGCCCCTACCCCATCTGCATGCATGCCCTCTCTCTCCTAAAAACATTTTTTAAATAAAAAAAATAAATTTAAATAAAAAAATAAATTTTTTTAACAAAGATAATTTTTCATAGTAGTTCTAGGTTCACAACAAAATTAACACTTTGCCTCCACATATGCATATCCTGCTCCACTATCAACATCCCTCACAGAGTGGTACATTGGTTACAACCGAAGAAACTAAGGGGCACCTGGTGGTTCAGTCAGTTGGGCTTCTGACTTTTGCTCAGGTCATGATCTCACGGTTCATGAGTTCGAGCCCTGCATCAGGATCTGTGCTGGCAACTCAGAGCCTAGAGCCTGCCTTGGATTCTTCTCCCTCTCTCTCTGACCCTCCCCCACTCATGCTCTGCCTCCTCTCACTCACTCTCAAAAATGAATAAACATAAAAAAAAAAAAACCAAACTAAGGAACCTAAATTTACACATCATAATCATCCTACAGTGTACATTAGAGTTCACTCTTTGGTGTTATACATTCTATGGGTTGGACAAATCCTTATGTATATACGTATACATATATAACATGTATCCACCATTATAGGATCATACAGAGCATTTTCCCCACCCTAAAAATCTTCTGTGCTCCTTCTATTCATCCATGCCCCTCAACCCCCTGACAATAAATTATCCTTTTATAATCTCCATAGTTTTGCCTTTTCCAGAATGTCACGCAGTTGAAATCATACAGTATATAGCCTTTCCTGATTGGCTTCTTTCACCAGTGATATGTATTTAAGATTTCTTTTCCATTTCTTTTCATGTCTTGAAAGCTCATTTCTTTTTAGTGATAAATAATATATTACATTGTCTCCAAGTACCCTAGTTTTGTTTTTTTTCCCCCTCATCTCTGTATTTTGTAAATTTTACTACAATATGTCTTGGTGTTGGCCTGCTTTTCTTGATTTTGATGGCAGTTCTCTGTGGCCTCTAGATTTGGAGGTCTGTTTCCTTCCCTAGATGAGGGATGTTTTCAGCTATAATTTCCTCAAAC